TCCCATTCTGTTCATGTGTATGTGTCTATCTAAGTATCATTCATTCATATAATATACATAAATACATATATATATATATATATATATATATATATATATATATATATATATATATATATATATATATATATATATATATATTGCATAATAAATTCCATAATATATTATTATTCTTAAATATTTCTTGTTACATATATATATATATATATATATATATATTTAAAATGATAGAAGATAAATAGATAGTTATAAAATCACTCAAAATGATATTGAGCACTTTTCATATATATATATATATATATATATATATACACACACACACAACATTCATTGACACACATATATATATATATATATATATATATATATATATATATATATATATATATATATATATATGTGTGTGTGTGTGTGTGTGTGTGTGTGTGTGTTATTTTTTAAAAAAAAGGATAAGAAAAATTCTAGTTGAAAAGGATTAAAAATAAAATAAATAGACATTTATGAATTTAACCAAACACACATAAAAAACAGACACACGACACACGTCTGTATATATATATATATATATATATATAGAAATTGTTTTGTTTCAGGTCAATCGTCGTTTTTTATATCCGTTGTCGGATTTTTCGAGTTTTTTTTATTTCTTTTCATCCTTTCTCCATTTTTAAATAAAAAATAGTATTCCTTCTCTTTTAATTTAAAAAAAAAAAATTTTGGAAGGCAGCGTTTTCATTTTGTCTGAACATGCTTCGGCTCGGAATAAATGTTCTAATAGTATTCAAAACAACACAAAAATAAAAACAAAAAAAAAAACAAAACAAAAAAAACGAAAAAATGTACAACAAATGTAAAGAAAATAAAGGATATAATAGATTTAATAAAAATTCTTCGGCTTTCACACCAAACACTTTCCGAAAAAAAAAAATATCTTGCTTCCTAAGTTGTAAATTGGAGTTTCTTCCTGCCTTCTTTTGGAAATCTTAAGTAAAAAAAATATAATCCGTGGATTTAAAAACTAAATAAATGTAATTAAATTTTCCTTGATTTAATGGATTAGGAAGAAATGATTTTAAAGATTCTCCAAAGGTTTGTGTCTAAAATGTACACTAATTAAATGTGTGTCTTTCAAGATCAACTGAAATATGAAAACAATATCAATGTAGTAAAACGTCCGTTTCGTTTATTAAGAAAAAGACAATCTTGTTTGCACTATATATGTGTATACATTTACGATTCTTATATCTGTTTTTTGCCTACGCAAAAAAAAAAAAGAAAATAAATGTGTATACACCGGTAAATTTTGAAGAGATTTTTTACAATTCCTATGATTTTCGCTTTATATACCCAAACTTTTTCCTGGTGAGGTTAAAATTTATGAAAAATTTCAAGAGTCACCGTATACATTCAGTCTTTTTGCACGATTCATTTTTAGTTTCATCAGTGAAGAACAAGTTCGAACGCTCTGGTGACTCTATCGACTTGTTTCTAAATTAACGTTTAAATTCCTTAACTGTTTATTCCATTTCTTTAGGAATCTTTCTTGAAAAACAAGGTGGATTAAGTAAGGGTTTATTTACTTTCTTTCAATAAGAATAACTTTAACAGTTTTCACGACTCCTTCACCACTATAATCAAATCTTCATGTGCCGGTGTCGGGCTGTCGGTTTCCTCTGATCTGACCCCCGCCCGAATGTGATCTTTTTCTTTTGTTATAATATATATATATATATTTTATATATATATATATATTTTATATATAGGCGTTGGTTGGAGGTTTGCGTTTCGTTTCGATTTACGCTTCAGATCGCGTTGTCGGGAGATGCCACGGATGTTCGATTCTGGGGTTTTTTTGGTGGATTCAATTTCATGTTAGGGCGCCAAAAAGACAAGCAAACACTTGTAGAACTTTCCTTGTTCGGTGGTGATCTTGAACACCGGATTGTGGTCGATCCATACATATATGGTTGGATACATACATACATACATACATGCATAGCAAGTCCATATATATATATCCTCTGTGTGTTGTGTATGCATAGAAAAGCATAAGTCTTAGTATAATTGAATGTTAATTTATCTATATATATGCAAATACTATTTAGCTATATATACTATGCACACTTTTCGATAAGTATCGGAAACCAATATTTTAACAATAAAATAAGTGTTTGTCAATCAGAAAGTAAGCACTTTGACATTTTCTTTAATTTCCATTTTATTCATTCTGGGTTTAGTTTCATCATCTGTTGGGAAAAATCAATCACATCGCAGAATAACTAAAGTCGTTGTCAGTGACAAGAAGTGGGGAAATGAGGTTCTACAGAAGGATATTTTTTTTTTTTTTAACAGTGGACCGAACTTTTTGAGTAGTGAACAGTTCACAAAGAACAACTCCATATTATAACATTGGCGACTACATCAATTAACGTCACATTAATAAGAGACTGCTTACAGGATATTGAGTGTTATTTGTTTTGGCTTCAAGAAAGACAAAGGAAATAAAACCTAACCTACATTGCAAACATATGTAAATGGATGACGGAACAAGGTCTTGGGTTATTTCTTAAAAATAGAACATTTTTTTGTTCAAATGGTGTGTTTAAATGGTTTGGTTAATCATTAATATATGGCATATACAAGAAGAATATATGTTTGATTAAAAATATTTACAAAAAATATGTTTTAATTGGAATAATCGAGATCTTTGCTTTCTTCAATCAGTGTTGTCTATTTTTTTGATATGTATTATTTAACCCTTAAACAGGGGGATTTTCACGAACGTGTACGCCAAACTGTTTAAAGCACCTCTCTGTTGGAAAATTTCCTTTTGGATATCTGCTGATATAAGCAGTGTTGAATAAATCTTCGAACAGCGTAAAATCTATTTCAAGAACTATAAAATGATATTTTAATTAAACATTTTTACAACGGGTTAAGAATAGCAAAAAAATTGAAAGATAATAATCTTACGTTCCTCAATTTATTATTTTCTAATAGTAAGATACCCCTGGAAGATTTCCATGTACAGTGGTATTGTACATTCTTCGCGCCAAGTTCTCAGCATTTACACCTTTCATCTCTTTGCGTCCTGGATATTACGATAAACTACATCCGGCAACAAAGTCGGAAGATTGGAGATTTTGAAGAGCGTGGGGTCACTTTTTAATTGCTGCTGTTCTCACTCCGATGATATTTATTAAAACATCAGAAAAAATTATTAAACAAAGTTCGTTTTACGCGATTTAAAAAAAAAAGGATTTTTATAAATAAATTTTACCAAAAAAGCATTTTATAATCTAAAATACACAGAGGGTCATTCAATAAATAAGGATTTTTTTTGGTATGAGGTCATTCTAATTTTACAGATAGCTTACTTTTTTTATCTTTTTTTTTTTTTTTTTATTACTTTTTTCACATGGATTTAATTTCTTTTGCAGATTAAAAAAAAACTTTGAAAATTTTGGCGATTAACAAAGATGGCCGACCAAGAAGCATGCTCCAGGATTGAACAGCGGTCAGTTATCAAGTTTTTGGTTGCTGAAGGGTGCAAACCAGTTGAAATTCATAGGAGAATGTCAACTGTGTATGGTGCCACATGTTTCATCCCAAAAAAATGTCTACAAGTGGGCTAAATTGTTTAAAGAAGGACGGAGCAGTGTTGAGGATGAAGACAGGCCTGGGAGGCCTACAGAATTGAGGTCTCCTGAGGTGATCGAATCAGCCAATGACCTCATTTAGTCTGACAGAAGAACTACTGTGAACTGCTGAGGCCAGGTCAAGAAAGACATAAAGAACAAACGCAGGGGTCATCAGTCAGAAGGAGTCATCTTGCATCTTGACAACGCAAGGCCTCACACAGCAGCCCAAACGGTGCAGACCATCAACGAGCTTGGCTGGGAACTGCTCCCTCATCCCCCTTACAGCCCAGACCTTGCCCCTTCAGAGTTTCACCTGTTTGGTCCCTCGAAAGCGTTTACGAGAGGCACGAAGTTTAAAAGTGACGATGAAATCAAAAGTGTTGTGAGCGACTGGCTGAGACATCAGTCCAAAGATTATTACGCTGAGATGAATACGGAAGCTTGTGCACAGATGGGAAAAGTGTGTGACAGTGCTAGGAGACTACGTTGAAAAATTTAAAAAAAAGTAAGCTTCTATCTGTATTAGAAGTCCTTATACCGAAAACTTCACCTTATTTATTGAATGACCCTCGTACATATCTAAAAATGTACCTTAAACTCTGATAGTATAAAATTATTCACGAAATATTTGTAATTGAAAGCATAAAACTACGTACAAATTATTTAGATTCGGCATTAAATAACCCATATAGATGTTGACATGCCGCTAAACAAAATGTACTACATAACTAACATGAAAGAACACTTGCAAGACATTTATCCATATATCATAAATTTTTAAGAAATCCAAAATATAAATTCAGCAAATCTACAACGCCTGTAGTAATTATGTCCGCACAAACATATATATGAACAAAAGCTGAGTATCATCTACCATGTATTCAACTGTGAAAGCAGAATAACATCATATATTTTTTTATTACTCCAAAGCTCCCAAAAAATAAAATTTCGGCATTGAATGACCCATAAGGAGTTGATATGCCATCAAGCAATCAAATCAGTCAATCAATCTTATCTCTTTGGGAAGTTTGCTCTCAGACAAGGCACCGTTCTTTCGACTTTATTTACAAGCATATCACACAGGGAAACGATGTCGGCTCATGAATCCTAGAGGTAAAAATTATTCATTTAGACACGTGAATGGCTGATGTCCGTACCATAAATTAATGATATCTGCTGATCTCCAATGAAATATCAATTGATGATTGAATAAAGATTGAAATGAACCATACGTCAATAGATAAAAAAAAGAAAAGAAGGGGCATCAAAAAATAGCCAAAGAAGTTCAAAACATTAACAAGGTCAGTAGAAGAAGAAATATATTTAAGAATGTCCCAAGAAGATGTAATGGGGAATTAGCCAGAAAAGTGGATTGAGTAAAAAGAAAAACAAAGTTGTTGCTGATGTAAACACTCCCTCATTCTCTTCACATCTATCTATCTATCTATCTATCTATCTATCTCCTTCTGTTCATTTATATCTATCTATCTCTCTATATATCTCCTTCTGTTCATTTATATCTATCTATCTATCTATCTATCTATCTATCTTCTTCTGTTCATTTCTATCTATGTATCTATCTATCTATGAATAAGAAATTCACAAAAATTAAATGCTTGATTAGATTTTCGAAAAAAATAATGATTGATTAGATTTTAGAAAGATTTTTAAAATTATATATATATATATATATATCTGTGTGTGTGTGTGTGTGTGTGTGTGTGTGTGTTAGTTTAATAGCCTCCCTATTTGGTGGCATTTAAGCTAGCTCCTGCGGCTAGTTTTTGATTGGGGACTTCATCACAATTGGTAAGGAAGAGTAGATCCGATAGGCAACAATAAACTACAGAAGAACTCAAAATAATCGCTGCATTTAAGTATTGCATTAATATTTAAGTTTACCTTTTACTCTTCTGGTGCCACTTAATTTAAAAACAATTTGATGTACGTAGGTCCTTACTTTCCGTATAAACAATTATTTTTATCACATGGTTTGGTTTTCACTGGATTTAACACTTAATTTCGATTATTCCCAAATTTATATCCAAGTCCTGAAAATTGTTATCGTACAAAAAATTCGTCGCAAAAGAAGAATTGCGAAAAACAATCGGAGTAATGAAAACTTGGGAATCAAAACTTTCAGGATTGCAGGTCTGGATCCGATGTGGAATGTTTTTAATTTACTCGCGAAATCGGCCTGGTTCCAAAATTGTATGATATTTTGGGCTACAGCCTCTAGGAGTAAAGTTAAAAACGTGTGACACAGTGACACACTGACATTCGCATTTATTATATATATATATATATATATATATATATATATATATTACATGGATCATTCATACAAAAAACAAATAAATATATTTGTTTTTTGTATGAATGAGTCATGTAATTATAAATGAAACTGCACCTATAATCGAAATTAAAATAACTGATCCAACGTGCAACTTTCGGATAATAAATGTGACATTACTGTAATTATTGAACAATATAGTTCATGCCACATTGACGGAAAACCAACCAGTACAAAAGAATTCTCTTATTAGTATATTTGTACAAAAACACACAACCTTAAAATTTGAAATTCAAACTCAGCGTTGCGACCGCACGTTCCAAAATAATAACACATTTCTCATAGCATTTTTTCGGATTACATCTTTATTTTCGTTGTCCTCTTATTACCGAGAAGTAAAAAACAAGAACAAATCTATTTCAATACCCGAGGATGTCTGTAGGAACAGACGAAAGCTTGTAAAAACGAAAAAAGACCTTATGAAACTGGAATTTATAAACAGCGATCATATCATTCATATACAGGTTCGGGATTAGTGTACCCTATTGAAATTGTTTGCGAAGATGTATTCTCGCCATTTAAATCATTAACCTCTATATTTGTTTTTTGTATGAATGATTCATTTAAATATAAATTGAACTGCACCTATAATCGAAATATATATATATATATATATATATATATATATATATATACACGAAGGTATGTCAATATATCCTTTGTCTAAATAAAATAATTTATTTCACACAAAAATATTTATCTTTCAACATTATATGGCCTTTATCAAGATGTTAATTCAGTAGTTGCTATTGATTATATACGGTGATTATTTTCCAGAGATTTCCAAAGATTTGGCCCTAAAAATTAAGGCTTCATATTCAAGGCTTTTTTTTTTCTATTGCATGTGTTGTCTTATGTTTAGGACGAAATAACTGAAGTTAAGTTATATTCACATTACAAAGCAATGCATGCTGTGAATTGAAATTGTAAGCCCAAAGAAAGTTACGTAATGTTATTGGTTCTGACCTGGCATCTCGATTTCAGTCACTTTCCGACTGCAATGACTTGGCTTCTCTTCGTCTTTTTTATAAATATTTGCATGGCAATTGTTCTAATGAGTTCTCCCCCTTGGTAGCTCTTTTTGCTTGTTTTGTTTTGTTTTACGGCTTACCAACCTCAATGGAGTATTTAATGCCGGTAATTATTGCTGGTAATATTTTTTTTTTTCAAATGTATTGCTGGTCAATTTTTTTTCCTTCAAAAATGTATTTCTGGTAATAATTTTCTTCAAAAATGTATCGCTTGTAATATTTTTTTTTCAAAAAGTATAGTTGGTAATATTTTTTTTTCAAAAATGTATTGCTGGTGATATTTTTTTTTTCCAAATACGTATTGCTGGTAATAATTATTTCTCCAAAAACTCATTGTTGGTAATAACTTTTTTAAAAAGTATTTCTGGTATTAAAACCTAATCTTACACTTTCATAGTGCTTTGAACCCATAGCTGGGACCCTAACAGGTGTTACTATCCCAGGTCGGGGTGGTCCTCTGAACATCAACAAATAA